CCTAACAAAACAATTAACAAGGACCAATTACCACCATACCAATGCGCCCAAAACGAAGACCAAGAAGACGCCCAGAATCCACGACCAAGGTCCCCAAGAAAACCAAGACCAATGGACACCCCAGCAAAACAAGACCAAGGTCCTCAAGAAAACCAAGCAAGACCCCCAGAAAACCAGCTCTTGAAAATTTCAAATCTAAGTGTCATATCAACTTATGTCACGTTTATGATGGCATACGTAAAGACATTATCATTCGTTTGTGTATTTTATTTGCGGGAGTGCCGGTTTTGAAGTCATTACATATGGCTCATTTCCCTCGTACCTGTTTTAATGGTGCTTGGGCTACACTGCACCTTCCATTCGAGTGCTACACGAGGTGGCCCTGTTTTATGGTTCATTATAATAATTCTATGATTACATGCTTTCCATTCCCAGTTACCTTACATTGCATCAAGCAAGGCTGCATCTGTTTTTAAGAATGCATTTGGCATAACGAGCAACAATATTTATGTTTTGGTTCCTGTGTCACTTCTTCTTACATTCATTGCTGTAACTGCAGTAGTGAGTCTGATAACTGTGTTCATAGTTACTGTTCCAGTCAGTAATTCAATTGAGACAGCAACAGACGGTATTAGTTCAATCTATAATGGTGCTATTGTTCTTGTTGGTGGCCTCTTTGCATATAAACTCGGATGGCACTATGTTGGCCACAATTTCTCGGCCTCAAATGCCCTGGAAAAAGCCTTGGAGAATTTATTCCCTTTGCAAGGAACAAATAAACTACCAACTAATTTGCAAACATATACAGAAAAAGGAAAATTGACTGAAGTTATGAAAGCAATGATACATGACGAACTTATGAAGAGGAAGTTGAATGAAAAATAATACTTTAGACCTGGATTGCAATAGTTTACTTATTTAGCACCAGTTATTATTTTATGCTATGAACTTTCCATATTAATAATTATGTGAATATCGGAATATCTACAGTTGAAAACAATTCACGGGCGGTATACAATGCCGTTCACCATACTATTCTGCAATGCCATGTACTGGGCTAACTAGGCCTGCTGTTAACGGCGTGACTTCTTATAAAATCGGGGCATGCCCAGATGTGCTACACTGCTCACGTGCAATTATCATGTGCACTCGTTTTGGACAGAAATGTTACAAGCACCCAAACTTTCAGTTCTGGACAGACTACATGCAGTCTTCACTAATATTGCATAGGTAAGTTAATTCATGGGGGAGATTCTAAGACGAAGAAGGGCCAGGGAGCTATGTAGAAGCGGTATAATATGTACTCCACCTAAGGTGCTTACAAGACAGCGCATACAGTGCAGATCACTTATGAACTCCTATATAGTCTTGTTCTGCTGCCCTTTTATCTAGTGTTGCAGTTTCCATTTTACGAGTCTCTAGTACATACTTGTTTGCCTTGCCTTTCTACCTCGTTACCAAGTTGTTGGAACATACAGGAGATTGCTACAAGAGCACCTTTCTGGGGAGTTCAGGAATAACATTGTGTCAATCCCACGCACACAGAAACTCCTCATGTTGCTGTCTTCACACAACACTGCAAATTCCATTCATACTTTAGTCCTATTACAGTAGCATGGCTATGTGGGGACATACTAGATTTAATGAGCCCACTATTCACCAGAGAATAGTGTCTGGTGTTGTAAAGTATAATGGCATTGATCCAAGGTATATAGTCAATGTTTTATCCTGCCCGATGACTCAAGCAGAAAGGGCAGCTATTAGAAAATATGTGGCCATCGTTGTGTTGTCGATCCCAAAGGACATCCAGTAGCTCAAACTTGAATGGAGTAGAACAAGGAGAACAAGATGGAACAGAGGCTATCCAGCATGATGCTAGAGCTAGCCAGCAAGCAAGTTCAAGTCAAGATAATACAGTTGGGATGAACTTTCCGGCTCTAGAGAGTCAGAAATTGAGACAGAGTGTTAAAGTGGAGCTTCCACCACGATCACAAAGTATGGGACATACCCTTGAACAAAGAGCTCAGAGCGAAACATCCCCACTGTTTGGTAGAATCACACAGGAGGTGATACAAAACCCTTCCACTGGAGCTTCCAACACAAGTTTAGATTCCGACTACAAGACACCACCGAGCACAATTGCCGGAGATCCTCCCAACACTTCACCTAGAATATCGAATCCTCGAGTTAGGAAAAAATCCCACTCGCTGCAGCTGCCTGCATCACAAGACTCTCTTTCGAGTATTCAAGAACCTGCACATTCACAGTATCACCACCACAGTTTCAAACCTTGGTATCGAGGATAGAAGAAGCAGAGAAACAGAGGCAAAAGCAACACGAGGAGCTTTTGAAGAAAATTGACACGTTGGTCACAGAGATAAAGGAAAGCAATGAGAGTGCTGAAAGAAGAGTAAGCACAGATGGTGTAAAACAACCAGAGAGGGAGGGAGAGATTTTGACAGACGGTGGTGGATCACTGCTTCCCCAGAACACTACAGTCTCTCGAACAGTCCTACTCAGACTGTCAGAACGTGTGACACGAAAGTGGAAGTTCCTGGCACGTGAGTTGGGAATTGAAGAACACGACATCCAGCAAATCAAGGGAGATAATCTGGGAGACACCATCCAGGAACAGAGTTATCAGATGCTTCTCAAGTGGAGAGAGAGTAATGGTGGAGGGTGTTACAAGGAACTTGGGGAGGCTGTTAGGATGACATATGGAAAACAGCTTCACTCAGAATATGTGCAGATGGTCATTAAAATTGAAGGGAAACATAGTGTGGTTGCAAGTAGTCAGTAATACACTTTATCTGTTCACTTTACTATGTAAGACTGGTTCCTAACATGATGGTAAAACAACTTAAGACTCGTTGCATTCCTTATTGCTTGTCTGAATACGTAGAAGGTGCAACACGTCAGTTTGGCCTCATGAAGATTGGCTAAACAAATTCGGGTATGCTCTGACATGCTATGTTGCTCGTGTGCGCTGGCGTGAACTCAACTGTTGCAAACCTACAACTTTCAGTTCTGAGACCACTGTACACTCTACAGATCTGCCAAAGAAGTTTGTCTCTTTCCCACAATACGACAAGCCTTTCACTCTTGCCTATAGTTTCTGTCAGTGCATCACACCATGAAATCAATAGCACAAACATTACATTCTCTAACACTACCGAGTGCTATTGGTAAGCTAATTCATGGGGGAGATTCTCATTGAACACAGCAACTGTACTTTGCATAGCACCGTGTCATGCATGAAAGCATGAGAAAGGTTTTACAAGTGACATGCCCGCAATGCACAAGGGGATTCCATGACATGTATACCCTAACATTGACCATAACTTGCAGTCAATGCAGTGACAAAGACAGCAAATCTAGAGCTACAGACACTATCTGGACATGTTGCGATCTTTGTGCTGCCCAGTTAGACAGACTAGCAGTTCAAGCTCAAACAAGGAGAAGAGTGAAAAATTAGTGAGCCAATCTGAGAACACTAAGCATCAAGATGTCTACCGATTGAGATCCCTCTCAGCATCTGATGACAAGTTTAGTCCCCAAAGATCTCGTGGACGAATTTTGGAGGATATTTTTGAAGACGACACCAGAAGCACTTCACTCCCGAGGAACTATCCAGATGTGACTCCCAAACACCAATCTCTCGTCACCTCCACCGGCGGCAGTTCAGAATCAGTTTACAAAACACCTCCAACCAGCAGACACGCATCATCAGCCAGTAGCCATCCGCTAAACACGATGAAATCCGCTTCACGTTTTAGTTTAATGTCTACTTCGAAAATTCGTCACTCACTCGAGAGACTGGCCCTACACGTGAAAGGCGCAGCTCTCAAGCACTGCTTTGCAAAATGGGGGAGACGAGCAGAAGAGACAGCAACAACACAAAGAGCTCTTGAACGTGATTGCAGATTTCACCGTAAAACTCGAAAAAGTAGTAAGTGATATGAAGGTGACCAGAAACAAAGACAGAGATACCAGTACTGATGGAGTTTGCAAAACTCAACAGAGTCCAAAGGGGCTTGCTGGTGGGGGAAATAATGGATATCTGCTGCCACAAAACACTCCGGTTTCCTCAGAAGTGATTCTGAAATTGTCGAAACGCGTGTCGACACCGCAGTGGAAGTTTCTTGGGAGGTGGTTAAAAATACCCGATCACGAGATCAACACAATCTCGGCCAATCACAAGGAAGATATCCAGGAGCAGAGCTACCAGATGTTGCTGAAATGGAGAGAGAGCAATGGTGGAGGGTGTTACCAAGAGCTTGGGGAGGCCGTTAGGATGGAGTATGGGGAGCAGCTTTACTCTGATTATGTCAAAATGGTTGTCGAGTCTGAAGGAAGGCAAAACAGTGGTCCTGAATAGTTAGTGACGTCATAGTAATCTGTAATCTGTGTTTGTTTTGTAACGTTGTAAAAACAATTCCACATGACCATGAGAGGTTTTAACATAAAGTTGTACGTAGATTTGTTAGCCATTGCTTAGCAACTAAAACTAATTTCCGACCCTGAAAAGGCGTGGCTTACTGGAAAGAAAGTTAAAGATGAGAGAGGATTAACAGCTAACAAAGTTGTTAAATTCCCTTAGCTAGAGCACTCACACCCATAGTTCAAGTAGTGTTTTGTACTCTCTCATGTAGTTAACCCTCGGCGCGCATGCGCAGCGAGGGTTACGGTAGTCGTTCTGTGTGTACGACGTGTGTGTCTGTCTGTCTGTCTGTCTGTTACCACGTTTTCTGGCACCACGCGCAGCAAACAGGCCAAAAAAAACGACACCAACGGGTTCAGCGCTACACTGGCTTCATTTTGAAACTGGCGATTTTCGTAAAGTACCGCGTTCAAAAGTTATGGCGTGAAAAGCAAGTGAACAAGCTAATATGCAAATTAGCACGGGCTTAGATCTGCGTATATACGTTGGAGGCGCAAGACGTCACAACGAAGGGCGTGTATCGACTACCGCATGCTATCTACTACTGTAGCTAGCCCGTGTCAGACTCTCCGTGTGCTACTAGCGGGAGACCACGAGTAAACACATACTATGGCCCATGTCCATCAATTAGCGGTATCGCGCAAGCGCAGTTAGCCGAGGGTTTGCACTTCATTTACGCTGTTCCCATTGAAGTAATGGGTGGTGGTCTGATGGATAAGCACCCCCTCTCTTGATCGTGAGGTCCCTGGTTCGAATCCCGGGTGTGTACGCCTTTTTTACAATGATGTAATAAGAGTGTTGGTATTATGTGGAACGTTTTTTCATCACATCTCAAGGCCAGCCCGAGTGGCTAGGTGGTTAGAGTCGTAACACCATAGGTGCTGGGTTCGCATCCCGCACTAAAATGTCAGGTGGTCCAGAGCATTGGCTGGGAACAGCTCTGGTTCCTCCCCTTACCCACAAATCTACCACTGACCCACGTCTCTCAAAGGGCAGCGTATAGTTCGGTATAGCACTACGTCTGTCTGGCTGGAGAGATGAAGGGCTGGGCGTTTTTAAAAAAAATTTTTTTCAACCTTTGTTTTTTTGCACTAAACAATCCACAGGTAATACGAAAATTAATAGAGAGATAAAAGGTTGGCAATTTTTCAACCTTATATATTTTTTACCCTCAAACAGAAATAGGGCTGGCCATTTTTTCATGGAAATGGTGCATAACATGCTGTTCTATGGTCAAGACCATCAATTGTGGTGGTGCCACACTTGTGTATGGGTTCCACATTTCTATATAGTGTGCCGAGGGTTTGCACTTTAGTGCTTTTCATTAATGAAGTGAGGGTGTAAATTGAGAAATGAAACATTGTTTATTGAAACCTTGAACCTGCAATTTGATCTGACTTCAACGAAGCAACAAGTAGACACCCTTCGGTTTTTCTAAGGAAAAATACGGGATCACCAGCTCAGCTCCTACCTCACATTCACCCATCACCAGAGGCTCAGCATGCCCTCAACAAGACAGGTCAAACAAAGGGTTTAGGTGTGTGCATTCATCATGCATTCAGTGTATTATTAGGTTGTGTACTATAGTAGGCCCCTGACTTTTCCTCATATATAGTCACTATACTAGAAGTAATTTACCCAGTGTAAAAATACTATATAATTATATATAGGCAATTGTCAATTTTCAGAGTGACCGTTTAAACTTCCAGTTCTCCATTGTTCCAAACTACACACAGCTACTCTTCATGTGTGAACTCTGTAATCCCCAAGTTCATTTTTATTGTGATACACCAGTCCGTTGTAGTCTACACTAGTTATGTCGCAGTTCTTGTGTTGTGGAAGTGGACAAACGACAAGTAGCCCAAAGCAAGCTGACAAGTCTAACACTGCTAAATACCAAGTTGAGTCAGAATCTAGGTTTGAGGAAAGCCACAATCTAGACAGAAAAACATTATCATCAACATCAGCAAATAGTTTGAAACCGAAACAATCTAAAGAGAAGACTGAAGTCACCAGCAGCACCTCTTTAACAACAAGACAACCCAATCATCAAGGTATCCCGCAAACTGGTGACTAGTATTATAAGTGACGATTCCGGATCTGTGTATGCTACACCTCCTACTAGCAGACACCCTTCCACCAAAGTAAAAAGGTTGGATCAGCATGCTTCATGTAGTCCGCAGCACTGCACTCGATCAAAGTTCTCCAGTATCACCTGAAAACTTCGGTCAGGCTCTGCTACGCAAGATAGAGATGGTTGAACAGAAAGAACAGAAACGACACGACGAACTACTAAAAGTCGTTACAGGTTTAGCAGAAAAGCTTGACAAGAGTGAAGGTAGAAGTGATAGAGTAAATGTTTGTAGGGTGACTAGTGGGTTTCCTCTAACACATAAGATTCCCGTCTGCTCCAAAAACGTAATTTTGGAACTATCGAAACGTGTGTCGAAACCACAGTGGAAGTTTCTTGCAAGGAGGCTGTATCTCCCTGAACACGAGATTGACCAAATAGAGGCTAATCATAGGGAAAACATCCAGGAGCAGAGCTATCAGATGCTTTTGAAATGGAGAGAGAGCAGTGGTGGAGGGTCTTACCAGGAACTTGGCGAGGCTTTGAGAAGGGAGTTTGGGGAGCAGCTTTACTCGGACTTTGTGAAAATAGTCAGAGAGTCTGAAGAACAATAACCAACTTATGTAGCTAGTGTGAAACAAGGAAGTTATCATTAGTGTGGTCTGCACTTCTTTAGTGTTTGTGTGTAGCTTCCAATTGTAGTCAGTGTATAGTTTATCTTGTTCATGTGCCCATTTATGCTGATTGTAGTGAGTAATAAGAGGGAGGAAACGTTACTCTTACTCATAGCGAAAGTAGAGTTGTTGCCTGGAAACCAAGCCTTCCCCGTTTCTAGTCACGAGACATTGACCAGCAGTGGATAATTCATACATGGGAGTGGCTGTGAGTCTATATTGACGGTTCATTAATTCCTTACAGCTACTGGCTCATCCGTGTGACTGATCAGAAAGTGATCAGTCATGTGGCTTACCCAGCGAGTTACACACAAATTGGAAGTTCATTGCACGATGGCTGGAACTGGAAGAGAAGGAAGTCACAAGAATCGAAACTGACTACAAAAGAGAAGAATATAGAGAACAGTGCTACCAGATGTTTATGAAGTGGAAGGCATGTGATCCGGGCAACTACAACTACGTATGTAGTACTAGGAGAAGCTCTAAGGAACGAAAACCAGGAGCTGTACAATGAGTATCTAAAGGAGGTTCAGCGAGTAGAAACCTTCTTTCATTAGAATACTCTTATAATAGTTTTTTGCCAAGCTCATTAGCGCGAGGCGGACACGTATACACCAAGATTTCACTGGGGTCATGGTCATGAAAATGCTCTACAGTGACATGAAACTGCTCAGGATGGCTCAACTAGCTAAGACGAACGAGGGCCAGGGAGCTTTGTAGAAGCGGTATAATATTATACTCCACCTAAGGTGCTTACAAGACAGCGCATACAGTGCAGAGCACTTATGAAATCCTGGTCTTGTTCTGCTGCCCTTTATCTAGTGTTGCAGTTTCCATTCTATATACCAGTCTTTTTTGAGGGTATCTACTACATACAGGAGATAGTTACAAGAACGCCTTTCTGGGGAGTTGAGGAATAACAATCCCACGCACACAGAGACTCCACATGTTGCTGTCTTCACGCAACACCGCAAATTCCATTCATACTTTAGTAGCATGACTATGTAGGGACATACTAGAGTTAATGAGCCCACTATTCACCAGAGAATATGACCACCTATAAGTTATTATTCCTATACTATACCACCCCTATTACAAAGTACTACACACCTTGTGTCAGTGTTCAAACTTAGTATAGCTACTTAGAGTATAGTGACCTTATTCACTTCCAGTTCATTGTTCCCACTTATAATCAGCAACTGAATCAGCAACTCCGAAGTTTGTTCATACGCCGAAAGAAACAGAAAAGAAGGCTAGTCAGCCATGTCAAACTTTTTGTGCTGTGTAGTTGGAAGTAG